CTCCCAGAGCATTTTTCCTCTGATGATTTTCCCACCTGGACCCCTACCAGGCACAGTGTCCAGTAAAAGGACGGGGTGGGGTGGTGGTGCAGTAGTAATACAACCAGACCCATTTGGAAAGGTCCTGGGTTCGCATCCCAGGGTCTCTCTACATATACTGGACCCGTGTCCATGACCTGGGTCAGCTGAGATGGGATGGACCTGAAGTGAAGATGGACCTGAAGTGAAGACCCTATCAGAGTACCTCTCACCACTTCCTCCATCCCTCATTCTCACGGAAGAAATTAACTTTTACAGAACGGTGTTGGGACTGAACCAGGTGCCAGGTCCAAACCAAGTGCTGCCCCGCTAGACAACACACGCATGTCTACTTGTTATCACGTAACAGGACCGGAGCACCTCCTCCCTCCGCCACGGGCGAGCAGAGAGCTGAGCCCCGTCTCTGTGGGCAGCTCTTGCCCTCAGAGGCTCAGCCCGTGAGGTCTGGGGCCCACCTGACAGCGAGGATGTGTACAGGCTGGGAACGCTGCAGCCTCTGCCTCGGGGACACCTGTGGCTGAAGGGACCGGGCTCCCGAGGTGGGCGGCTGGCCGCGGGCGTGCTGGCCGTTCTGCAGGAGGGGCACTGTGTCTGACTGCATGCTGCAGGCCGAGTACAAGCTCTCCAGCGACGCATTCATGTCGTTCACCAGAGCCTCCAGGTCCACGTCATCCTCTGCAAGTCACAGAGAAAAGCGAAAGAGAACGTTAGCCACAGCGAGGCCTCCTCACACGCACGTCTTAGTGACCTGGCTGAAGTTTAAACAGCTTTAGATAGTACATAAGGGGAGAAGGGGTCTAATGGAGAGACAGAGAGACATCTGCGAGGAACCAGGGGTATTACATTTACCAAGAGCTACCAACATCCCAGAGGCCTGCATTTGGACCCATATGGGCCAAGAGGGCACAGGAGGAGGAGAGCCGTTGCACAGCTCAGGTCCAGACTGGGCAAATGTCAATCCAGTCCCATGGCCAGACAGTAAAAGGACCAAAGTGCCAATCCATTATTCATACTTACCACAGAATAATGAACATATCACAAGGAAAGCCAGTCAGCTGACAGAACTATTGCTTACAGCTGGGCGGGGCGGGGGGGTGCAGAGGAAGGGTTGGTGGGGAAGGGCTGGTTGACAGAAAATTCACTCCTTTAGAGAGGTGACCAAGTGGGGACTTCAAACAGTTTGTGGAAAAATGGAATCAAAATATGAGTTTATTTTGGTGTAAAATTTTTTTTTGAAATTTACACATAGTTTTTTGGTACATACATCTCCCAAGAGCTTTCTGAAGACTGCTGGGGGAGAAGCCTATAACTCCCAGCTGACCAGGTGTGGCTGTGTGGCCTTAGTGAAAGTCCCATGTGTAAACTCTAAGACTTGGCAAAGATGACAACTGTGGAAAACACCTAAGTGATTTTCTCTCCAGAGAAAACTGACTGCTAAATAAGGGAGGTCAGTTTTGTATTTCCTGAGACCTCAGGGTGTTCACCGTCGGGAAAGAGGACTGTTACACTAGAAGGTGCAAATCTGGGGCTTCAGGAAAGTTCTAGAAGATATGCATCTTGACCATCACTTGTCTCCTTCACTCATATCTAGTGGACATTTAATAGTTGCTTAAACTCTGTAAAACAATTAACAACAGTGCTGTTCTTAGCTCACCATATTAACACTTCAGTATTTCTATCTTTGTGGGCCTTTTACAAATCAATACTGAGTGAAATGCACAGTTCACCACAGTACACTCCAAGGCTAGAGGGTGGCTAAGGGAGCCTGCAGACCTGGTGGTCTTGTGGCAGAACATTCTCTACATTTATAATCAGGAGAAACCCTGGATGAATACAAAGGCTTGTTTCCCTCTCTTCCATCCTGCTTTTGAAATAAAAAACAAATACAAAATTTTGAATTGGGATGAGCACTGTATTTGCTCAGATAATAAAATTATTATACTTGTGGTTATCTGACTTTATTTCTACTTTGCTAAATTGTAACATGGACCAAAAATTCAATCTTCCAAATAGAGGTGTTTTTTTTTTTTTTTTTTTGCTACTGTTCTTTTTTTGTTTTGTTTTTAGTTTAATTTAGTTTGATTTTGTTTATTTTTGTTTTCTTTTTCCCCATAGGGCACGTATGCTTGAGTATGGAAGAGAGGAGGAGACTGAGAAATAGCCTCCCAAGGGGATGGCCACACCACAATCTGTTCTCTTCTATTTCCTCTGGGATTTTGGACACACACGTCTGGCATGATTTTCAAGTCACTGGGTATGGGACTTGAACCACAGGCAGCCACTGGGGCATCTACTACATGCTGGTCCCTCAAACAGAGGTTTCAAGGAACTGATTCTAGGGTCAGTAGGTGGTTAGAGGTTAAGGTACTGGGCCGATTACACGGCTGAGTCCCAGACCTGGTGGCTTGAAATTCTCACCTCTCTCTCTCTGGAGCGTGCACACACCCTATAGCAAAAATTGAAAGAAAAAGAAATGAAATAAATAAAGAGCTAATTCTAAAGAATCCACTGGATCAAGTTTTGCCAACATTACTATATGAAAATATGACCACAATCACATTCGGTTCGTCACACAATTCCGTACAGTGTGTATTTCCTCAGCTAGTCTGTTTCAGAGAGGACTCTGCCTCTTCTACGTGTGTCACCACCTACTCAATTCTCTTGTGGTCCCACGAATCTAAGTGGATCAATCACCTCTGTCTGTCAAAGGCTTTCTGCCAGGTAACATAAGTGGGAAAATCAGGCCCACAGAAACTTCTGGAATGAATGTTCAGATTAAATGTCTATTTGATGCTGAAATATCTTCTATGAGGCTGCCCTCTGAGTGGAATACTAGAAGGGGAAAGGAAGATGATTTTATGTAATAAATTTTATTTCACACCGATTTATAATAGTTACTACACAAATATGGGTCAAACAACATGGGTGTCAGTCAAGATACTAAAACAGTTTCCTTTCTTAAATAACCCAGTTCCACACTGGACATTCACTTTGCCCCAAATGTTGGGAGCAGCCCACCTGATCTCAAATTCATCTCTCACCTATGACTAGCTTCACTATCATTAACAAACGGAGGCTAGTTTTGTTCTAAAATAAATTCGGAAAAAATGAATTTGCATTAGGTTGATAAACTATAAAAAAGAGAATGTCTTCCATAAAAAAGTGTGAGGACCAGGAAAAGACAAGCAGGACAAGGACGCAAGTGAACCGAGGACTAAACGCCTCTTCCTAATTACCACGGTGACTCCCTCAATGCCTGGTTTATAGCACCATCTAGTGTCTTCTCCACATTAATTAGAGAGTAGAGGCAACGTGGGATTTGCTTTCCTCAATCATCATCCCTCCCTGCCCAGGGCACTTCCTCTCCTTTCCGGCTCTACAACTCGCTACCTTTGTGGCTGAGGTAGGGGGAAACGCCCCAGAAGGCAAGAGGAATTCCAGGTCTCTTGAGAAGGAATCATAGTGCACCCCCCCCAAAAAACAAAAAAACATACAAAAAAAGCAAAAAAACCACTTGGACACCTGGCTAGTGAGAGAGATTTTAGCAATTGCTGGCCCCTCTGCCCCGTGTATTTTGAAAACCACACCAGCAACGCCAAGGGTGTGAGAGGTGCAGAATGGTGTCAGGTCTGCTGGGACAGATGTCAGACTTTGTTCATTTTGGCCTAAACCGTTACTAAACCTTTCCCCAGGCTCTGGGACACAGGTGGGAAAAGACACTTATGTCCCCTCACACAGGGTCAAAGACATAGGTGCTGCTACTTGGTCATAAGGGCTCAGTGTGTAAAAAGGATGAGAAGTGACATTTAAAAAACGACCTCACTTAGGCTCGACATCACCTCAACAAAGGAAAGAGTCACACATTCTCGTCACATCATCCGGGTCTATTCTGATCCCAGGAAGTTCTTTCAGATAGTTAAAAATAAACATACGCTACTTTATTTCTGTATTTGAGACTTGTCATTTTATAGCAGTGACACAAAAATTAGGAAAAATCTATTGGAAGAGTATGACTCTGGGCCGTGGGCATGCTTGCACTCTTCTGCCAGGGTTTTCTCAAATAATGCTGGCATAGTGGTTACACCACTGGACTCCAACATAGGGGTCTGTGGTTCGGGTCTCAGACCTGATGGCTTGAAAATCACTCCAGGCACATGTGCATGCATGTCCAAGATGCTGGGAGGAAAAAGGAGAAGGGATTACAGCATGGCCATCCCCCAGGGAGGTGATTTCTCACTTTCCTGTTTACTGTATCTGTCTGTCTGTCTGTCTCTCTATCTCTGGTGAATGTACACACCCTAGGGCAAAAAACCTCTTAAAAAAAAATGAAACACATCTCAAAGAAGCAGAAAAACAATGACAACAAAACCCCCTAAGTACTGAAAGAAAAATAAATAAAAATTAGAACTTCCTCTCCTTTCCGGCTCTACAACTCGCTACCTTTGTGGCTGAGGTAGGGGGAAACGCCCCAGAAGGCAAGAGGAATTCCAGGTCTCTTGAGAAGGAATCATAGTGCACCCCCCCCAAAAAACAAAAAAACATACAAAAAAAGCAAAAAAACCACTTGGACACCTGGCTAGTGAGAGAGATTTTAGCAATTGCTGGCCCCTCTGCCCCGTGTATTTTGAAAACCACACCAGCAACGCCAAGGGTGTGAGAGGTGCAGAATGGTGTCAGGTCTGCTGGGACAGATGTCAGACTTTGTTCATTTTGGCCTAAACCGTTACTAAACCTTTCCCCAGGCTCTGGGACACAGGTGGGAAAAGACACTTATGTCCCCTCACACAGGGTCAAAGACATAGGTGCTGCTACTTGGTCATAAGGGCTCAGTGTGTAAAAAGGATGAGAAGTGACATTTAAAAAACGACCTCACTTAGGCTCGACATCACCTCAACAAAGGAAAGAGTCACACATTCTCGTCACATCATCCGGGTCTATTCTGATCCCAGGAAGTTCTTTCAGATAGTTAAAAATAAACATACGCTACTTTATTTCTGTATTTGAGACTTGTCATTTTATAGCAGTGACACAAAAATTAGGAAAAATCTATTGGAAGAGTATGACTCTGGGCCGTGGGCATGCTTGCACTCTTCTGCCAGGGTTTTCTCAAATAATGCTGGCATAGTGGTTACACCACTGGACTCCAACATAGGGGTCTGTGGTTCGGGTCTCAGACCTGATGGCTTGAAAATCACTCCAGGCACATGTGCATGCATGTCCAAGATGCTGGGAGGAAAAAGGAGAAGGGATTACAGCATGGCCATCCCCCAGGGAGGTGATTTCTCACTTTCCTGTTTACTGTATCTGTCTGTCTGTCTGTCTCTCTATCTCTGGTGAATGTACACACCCTAGGGCAAAAAACCTCTTAAAAAAAAATGAAACACATCTCAAAGAAGCAGAAAAACAATGACAACAAAACCCCCTAAGTACTGAAAGAAAAATAAATAAAAATTAGAGCATAAATAAATAAAATTGAGAATAAAAGAATAAAAAAAAGAAGAAACAAAAAGCTAGTTCTTAGAGGATAACCAAAATTGACACATCACTAGCTAGACCATGAAAATGAAAGAACCCAGATAAATAAAACCAGTAATGAAAAAGGCAATATTACAACAGATACACAGAAACACAAAAGATTGTGAGGCTACAACAACCGATTACGTGCCAACAAGTTA